AAGTAAGCATAAAACTATCAAATTTGTCAATGGAGTATTTTAGATAGTCTGCCTAATACAACAGAAATCATATGTCAATTCTTTATTTTAGGTAATTCTTCCACAATGTCCATCTAATACATCAAGAATAATATATTTAGCAGATAAGGTAGCTATAACATGTTCATCTAATACATATAAAATCATACATTAATTCTGTATTTTGGAAACTATTCTACAATATAAGTTTAATACATCAGAACTTGTGAGAAAGTATAGAAGAATGTCAACCACACTATATCATCCAGTGCCAACGACACATTTTGTCCAATACCAGAGCTCATCAGACCAGCTGGGATATGATACAAATAACATTGGTTTTGGCTACATTTGTATCACCAACTGCATGAACATCTAGTGTGAACTAGATTAACAGAGTGAATTGTATTTATTATATCAAAATGCAGTACTCTACTTCACAATATAAGGTTAACAAATCAGCATTATACATACTTATGAGTGAAAGTATAGAGAATATAATAATATGTAGCACATTAAGTCATCCAGTGTTGACAAGGCTTTTCACTCAATACCAAGAATCATCAGGTCAGCAGCAATACAACAGACATAGTACTTTGAGAAGTTATTTCACTAGGTAAGCTTAATATATCAGAATGATGTTAGGATTCACAATATAGACCTAATACAATAGAATGAAATGTTAATGAAGTTTTGTAGTTACTAATAACTACCTTTATCTTTCTAAGGGGTAAAGTTTGTAGTTACTAATAACTACCTTCATCTTTCTAAGTGGTGAAGTTTCGTAGTTACTAATAACTACCTTCATCTTTCTAAGTGGTGAAGTTTTGTAGTTACTAATAACTACCTTCATCTTTCTAAGTGGTGAAGTTTCGTAGTTACTAATAACTACCTTCATCTTTCTAAGTGGTGAAGTTTTGTAGTTACTAATAACTACCTTCATTTTTCTAAGAGGTAAAGTTTGTAGTTACTAATAACTATCTTCATCTTTCTAAGGGGTAAAGTTTGTAGTTACTAATAACTACCTTCATCTTTCTAAGAGGTAAAGTTTTGTAGTTACTAATAACTACCTTCATCTTTCTAAGTGGTGAAGTTTTGTAGTTACTAATAACTACCTTCATCTTTCTAAGGGGTAAAGTTTGTAGTTACTAATAACTACCTTCATCTTTCTAAGGGGTGAAGTTTTGTAGTTACTAATAACTACCTTCATCTTTTGAAGGGGTAAAGTTTGTAGTTACTAATAACTACCTTCATCTTTCTAAGGGGTAAAGTTTGTAGTTATTAATAACTACCTTCATCTTTCTAAGGGGTGAAGTTTTGTAGTTACTAATAACTACCTTCGTCTTTCTAAGGGGTAAAGTTTGTAGTTACTAATAACTACCTTCATCTTTCTAAGGGGTGAAGTTTTGTAGTTACTAATAACTATCTTCATGTTTTTAAGGGGTGAGAGAATATATAAAAAATAACAACATCATTCGCTGGTTTATATAATTTAGCGTAAAGCTACTCAAGAGCTATCTGTACAAGCCATTCATAATTTAGAAGTGATAGACTAGAACAATGCTTCTGAACAGGTGAATGGTTAATGAGATCAGAATCAGGGTGAATGAGTACTATCAGTTATACAACAAATTCAGGAGCAAAAAAGTCATTAGTTATTAATTCTTTTTGTAGTTTGGTAAATACATTTCTTTTTTTGTATATTTTATGTTTTATTCATTCTAGTGGTAGTTTGATGCATAATTAAATCATAATAAAGAATTTTGATTTTAATTTAGTACTTTTTGTCTTTTTTTTCAAACTGGGGTGAGTGAGCTGTTGTGAAAAACATATAGGGGTGAATGATAATGTAAAAAGGTTGAGAAACACTGGACTAGAGGGAAGGTAGCTAGTCAACATCACCCAATGCCAACTCTTGAGCTATTCTTTACCAATGAAAAGTGGATTGACTGTCACATTATTATGCCCCCATGGCTGAAGGAATGAGCAAGTTGGTGACAATATTTGAAACAACATCACTGACACACCATTGCTATCTTACCTCTGGGGTCCTCAAAAGGTTGGTCCTCATCTTGGGTTTCAGAATGAGGTTCTTCACAACTCAAGTTATGTTCTTCTTCTTCGTCACTGCTTTCATACAATTTTTTCCGAGGTTTTCTTTTCCGAGAGCTTCTTCGTAACTGTGATTCCCCATAATCAGAATCTTCTTGGGTTGACGAAGGAACAAAATTCTGGATTTCTGAAAGCTCCTCTGATGATGGCAATACAGACTGTGCTAAAACAGTATTTCCTTCAAGTTTAAAATTATTGGTTTCTTCATTACTGAATGCTGCTGGTATGCTTTGTTTTGATAGAGGATTTTTTCTAGGACGTCCTCGAGGCCTGCTTCGTGGCAAAAGTAGGATTGATGCTGTTGTGGGATGGAATACAGATTCATCTGTTGAATTAGTGGCCACATCATCCTCATTATGCGTGAGAGAGCATGATGTTGGTTCAGTCTTGCATTTTTTACGTGGTCTCCCTCTAGGACGACGTTGTGGGGTCAACAAGCTACTTGTTTCTTGCTGATTTGTTTCTGATCCTTTAAGGAATGTTGTTGAATCATTTTGAAAGAAGCCATTACAGGTACTTGTTGAAGTAATTTCATCCTGTGGAAAACTATAAAAATTACAAGTTTCCTTTTCAACAACATAAAGTTCAAACTAACTTAAGTGTAACTTCTAGGAATGATAAATTTACCTTAGCAGTTTTAACTGTAACAAAACTTGTATTATCAACCTACTCATGTAAGGTTAGCGGTCTCTACCTTAGCAGTTTTAACTGTAACAAAACTTGAATTATCAACCTACTAATGTAAAGTTAGTGGTCTCTACCTTAGCAGTTTTAACTTTAACAAAACTTGTATTATCAACCTACTAATGTAAAGTTAGTGGTCTCTACCTTAGCAGTTTTAACTGTAACAAAACTTGCATTATCAACCTACTCATGTAAAGTTAGTAGTCTCTACCTTAGCAGTTTTAACTTTAACAAAACTTGTATTATCAACCTA